GTGTGGTGGCCTTGGCCGAACGAGCGGTGGTGATGCAGTGTGCAATTTTGGCCAAAAGAGGGTTGGCCGCTCGAGCGGTCTGGGTAAAATTTCAGTCCGAAAATCTTGCTTTTGCCTTGAAAGCCTCCATTTTCAAATCCAACTTCAATTTATACAAATTACGGCCCAAACCCTTAAAAACATGTCAAATTTAGTATGTCTAACTTCATAAACAAATCATATATGCCAAACAAAACTCAATTTGTACTTAAAAAGGTACAAAACTTGACGATATACATTTGAGGGTTCCAAGCTCCACTTTCATGGAAATTCATGGCAAAACTCAAGAGGTATGCATGAAAAACTAATTGCTACACATTACTTCATGAATTGATGCCATGTATGCAAAGATTAAACATCCCCTTAGCAATATACATGCAAAGCTTCTATATAATCCATAAATCCACCTCTATATCACATGAGCTTCAAGATAAAGAGTTAGATTCTTACCAATAATACTTGTTCTTGCTCACTCTAGACAAATCCAAGCCAAACTTGAGTTTCCTCTTTCTTTTTTTCCTTTCTTCTCTTCTTTTCTCAAACTCTCTAGAGTTTTATCTCTCTCTCTCTCTCTCTCTCTCTCTCTCAGATTTTTGCTTCTCTTTTAAAAGGATAGGTTTTGAGCTCAATATACCACATATATATCTATATATGTGCTTAAACTAATAAGGGTTGCCCAAACACTACTTAGCAAATCAGACAAAATCAATTTTCAATTAAACTCCCCAAATGGTTCCAAATATTCCGATTAGTCCATCCATGTGCTCAATTTCGGTTTCTGGACCCATTAAGGTCGTCTATTTATATTCTGAAGTTGTAGCCCCAACAGATATTTGCCCAATTCAGACAGATACTTCCAAATTAAATCATATTAATTCATAATAAAATAAAGGTAATTTTGCCACGTATTTTGGGGCCGTTACACTTAGGGTGGTGGGTAAACTATTACACTATTATATTATTATAAACACACTCTCTCTCTTCTGTGGCTAGGCTAGCTTAGGTAGGGGTGGTGGGTAATTATTAATGTTATTTATTTAATTATATAAATTTTTATTTCAATTCTTGTAATTCAATTACAGATAATTGTATAAATTATTAATTGTTAACTATTATGTTATTTTATTTTTGTTTTTTTCTTATTATTTTTTTATTTTTACAAGATCAATCTTTTTATTTATTTCATTATTTATTTTTTAAAATTATTTAACCGTTGCAAGTTGTTTTTTATTTTTATTTTTCGAAATTTAACCATTGGTAGAGAGAGGGCCGGATAGGTAAGCCGGACCGAGCAGCTCGCAGGGCTCGAAATTTTTTGGGTCGGGCCGAGGCTAACGAGTCGGGCCACAAATGGAAGGCCCAGGCACAAGCCCAAGGTACTGGGCTGGACTCGGGCTCGGTCCTAACCGGGCTGAAACGGGTCGGCCCATCTCAGGTTTCGGGCCATTTTTACACCTTACAATTAATGACGTCAAATCACAAAGAATTGCAAACATTAATTATCAACTCTATAAGATATGTAGGCATTGACACAAATAAATTAAAATTTTCAACACTGAAAACCAGTCAAAATTGTTAAAAACAGTTTCTAAAAACAATTTCACAACTGAAAATCAGAAAACAAATTTAAACAAAAATTTCCAAAACTGGAAATATAGAAAAACATTTTTAATTTCAGAACTAGAAATACTAGAAAAATGAACTGTTCAAAACCAGTTTAACAATTTTCAGAATAAGAAAATAAATTTTAAAAAACAATTTGTAAAACAACTCTTTCCAGCACCGTTTAAAAAAAATAGTTTTAAATAAATTGTTCCAGCACAATTTATATAAACAAAACAGTTTTTAAATAAAACAGAAAACTATTTCCAAATTATTTTGATTTAACAAAAAAAACCAACTTTCAAAAAACCTTGATCTTTTGGGATGTGTCATATCATGATAATATGGCACAGGTAATTCTATTGAATACGTAGTGCTTTCAAATATGGGTCCCGCAAACTTGGTCAAATCCTTTTGTTACCAAGAGAAAGAATTGTAGATGAGATCAAGAGATTCTTTGCGAACACTCTGGAGAGGCATGGACATAATTCTTGTAATTTGTCCTCATCATCACATTCTAGAATGTTCTCTGATGAAAAGATTCAACTGAACTCATTGAATCTTGATTTGGACAATAACATTCCTGCAATATGAAACTCCGGCTTCTTCTTCTTTCCCAAAAAAAATTCAACTGTGACTAAAGATACGAGTAATTTGCCTAGAATAGTAAAGACTGAATTTTCTTTCTCAAGTTTGCTTGAACTTGCTGCAGACAATGATGTGGAGGGGTTCAAGCAATCGATTTTGCATATTGCTTCTGCAATTAATGAAATGGGATTCTGGTATGGTCGTCAGAGAGCATCAAAACAAATGGCACTGGAGAATCGAACTCCCTTAATGGTTGTTGCCATGTATGGCAGCGTTGATGTTGTAAAACTAATACTCTCTTTATCCAAGGCAGATGTAAATCTTTCTTGTGGCCCAGATAAGAGCACTGCCCTTCACTGTGCTGCATCTAGCGGATCTGTCAATGTTGTTGATGTTGTAAAGATGTTATTACTTGCTGGTGCAAATCACAGTTTGACTGATGCCAACGGCCATCGATCTATTGATGTTGTTGTCGCTCCTTCAAAGTTTCCTGACTTGAAAGATACCCTTGAACGGCTCCTCAGGAATGATGATTCTGTTCACCTACTGGACATTAAGGTATCATTTGGTCGTGAGAAATCGAATTCGTCATCACACTTATCATCTCCAGAAAATGGTCCCTTGTCTTCTGCTGTGGATTCAGCATCATCACTAAACAATTTTAGGCTGAGTGATACCCGAGCATCCTCTCCACCAGAGAGGAAAAAAAAAAAAACCTGGTTGATCCTTCTCTTCCAAACATCAAGAACAGTGCATATTCCTCTAACGAATTTCGAATGTTCTCATTTAAAATCTGTCTAAAGATTGTTAGAAAAATAGTACCAAACTATATAGAAAATATAATTTAAAAATATGTAAAAGTGTTTGGACAAAACTAAAAATTGAAATAAATCGATATAATAACGTAACAAAACTTACAGTACATAAATAGATAAAACCTGATCGAGTCGAGTGTGTGATACTCTTTCTTTAAGACAGATTCGTCCTCCCACCGGTGCTTAGGATTCAATGGACGTCTATCTCCCTGGATACAACGATCAATGTCTTGCACTAGCAGCACTACTATTGCAAGCCTAGCGAACTTTGCTGTGCATGCACTCCTTTATAGAAAATTTGACTTAGGAAAATATAAAGAATAAATGTGAAGATAAAGAAGAAATGACGAATTTCCTATCCAAATTGAAGTGAGGGAGATGAAATTTATAAATTCCTCCGTGACTTTTCCTAAAGGTTGTAACCCTTAACGGCGCACTCTTCTATTTCAAGAGATACAACCATTTGAGTAAATTTTAATTTAATTTTCAACAGTTTAATCAATAGTGTCGGCATACCAATGGTGGATGTGGGTGAAAAACAAATGATTGTATATATGCTTTAGCATTTACACATGTTGTAGATCACCTTTAATTGCGGCATTTTTTTTTTTTTGTTGTTAAAATTGAATATGGAGTGATTGTGATAAGATATTATAGAATTATATTATATAAAAAATTATATATAATAAAATTGTGAACAATAAATTATAATTAGATAGATAGTCCAAATCTTCATATTATAACTCCTATGTTATTCTTCATGTTCTCATATTTTCTCACTTAATTCCGGTGACAATACGAAAGTTATTCAATATTTTAATATCGCGTAAACAAACAACAAACTAAAAAGACATATTGAATTTAACAACATTTCATATCAAAATTTTATTCTTTATACTAATTAAGGTCTTGACTTAATGGTTGTGCAATACTGTTTTGTGCCACTAAAATTACTAATCAACTATTATAGATAATAATTTATTATTTTTCTTTATACTACAATCAAACGAAATATTATTTTAATGGTGGGTTAAATTGACAAGTAAAATTTTACAAGATGATAATTTTAAATAATTAAATATGATTCATATATATTACTGAGAAAGATATTTATCGCCTACCCAAAATACAAAAAGTGATGGTTGCTTATCTTGTCTTACAAAAATTCATCCTTGTAGAGGTGAAAATGTTAAAAAAAAAAAAAATCAATTCAGGGAGGACATAGTTTGAGAAGTGAGTTGATTTTTTTACTTTTTATTTATATATTGACCAATTAACGTTGGAGAGTAAGCTTACGTATAGGTCTATAAGTGAATTATTAATAAGTGAACTTATCATCTAATAGGTTTAGAGAAAAAATTGTCATTAAAAAAGTCACTAATGTAAATTTTAGGAAATTTATAAAAATCATAATAAAAAAGTCACTAATTGTCAATTTTTAGCGACATATATAAAAAATTGTCATAAAAAAATTATTTTGAATGACAATTTATCAAGACTTTATTTTAATAGGATTTGATGGGAATTGGTAGTTTTCCCTAGCTTTCTTGGGGCTGAAAAGTTCGTTTGTTTGATTTTTTTTTTAATTTTGTCAAAAAAAAAGTGAAATAATTATGGTTTAGATATAATATTTTGTCTTATTGATTTTTTAATTTATTTTGTCTTTTTGTGATTAATTTTAATCAAAAAAATTCACTTGCCAAAAGAGGGCAATGTCATTTCACCAAATTTGAGAGAGGTCTCAGCAATTATCACAAACTTTAGGAAAATTGTGCAATTTGCCGTAAATTAAAATTTAGATTTATTTTGAGAAGCAATTTATTTATTTATTTAGTTATTGATTTTAAAAAATAAAATAAAATAAAATAAAAAGAGTGATATAACCTAAATACCGAATAAGCTGATTTTTATTTTTTATTTTTTATTACCAAAATAGACCATAAAAGCATGCAGGGTTTATGTTTTCTTCAGGTTCTGGCGAGAGAGAGAGAGAGAGAGAGTCAAATTTCTAGGCTGTGTGTGTGTGTGTGGGTATGGTGTGAATTGGTGATCTTCTTCATCACCAAAAGCAATGGTGTGTGAAGTAATTCTATGGGTAATCTTCTTCATCTTCAACATGACCCTCTTAGCTCTCGATTTCTATCAGGTAATCTCTCTCTTTCTCTCTCTCTAAAATCCCTTCAAATCATCATCTATAATTCATTTTCTATATATAGAAACCCTAATTGAACTGACTGAGTTCACATTATTATCGATGATTGAGTTTGCAGATTGTGTGTTTATCGGATTTGGAGGCCGATTATATGAATCTATACGAGTCATCGTCTCGTATTAATGCCGTGATTGTCCCTGAGTTTGTAGTTCATGGTTTGTTCTGCTCTCTATTCCTTGTGACCGCCCATTGGTTCATGTTCCTGCTTATGCTTCCCATTGCCTACTACAACACCATGTTGTGAGTTTCTTCTTTGTCAATTTCATTTGAGTGTGCTCTTACTTGCATCCCTGGTGATCATATTGAGAGCCGGCCCTAGGTTGTTTGGGACCTAGGCGAACTTTTCAAATGGGGCCTTCTATACATAACGACAAGTGGTGGCATATTGGATGCGTGTGCATATGATCATTTTATTTTGGAAAAATAAGATTATAAATTGGATGATTGAATTGAAAATCTAAAATCAGAAATCAGAAGTTAAGAGATTTGAAGGAAAAAAAAAAAAATTAGGACTACCCACCTAACTGCGATAGGGTACTTTGGGGGGGGAAAAAATTGAGACATAAACACCAAGTTGGGCCTTCTCTTTATAATAGTACTATCGTTCCACCACACACGCAAAAAAAAAGTAATAATATGAGAATAATGACAAATAGGAATGCACACATAGTACGTTTTGCTCAAGAGGAAACGGTCTTCTCTACCAAATACATGATCTTTGTTTCAAGTCCTGTCCTCCTCTTAATATAAAATTTATATGAACACCAACTATAGGGGTATTTTGGGAAAACATAAAATATGAGACATTTTGTGTCAACACCATCTCAAGGCTTCACATATATAATAGTATAGACAGATAGATAGATAATGAAAAAAAATGTGGGTAAAATGCCGAGTAGTTACATTTAAAAAAAAAAAAATTTCTAATACCTGTACAAATTTTGTTTGCATATATAATCACTAAAATCATATACTAAAATTTACTCACATAGATCAAAATATGGAAAAATATTCCAATAACTCAAAAAGATAAAAATATGATCATGGTGCTTTATAATTTAACAAATTCGATCCATGTTCTAACTGCAGTTGCCATCTTAGATCTCAAGTTGCCTAAGGCCAGCCCTGCTTGTTGTTTTCTCACTTATATCTCGGTCTTTCTCTGTGGTTGATTGATTTATTTTATGCAATCTTTTTCTGCTTGATTAACCCATGCATAAATCAAGGAACAAAACTCCTGTTTGTTTTTTATCAAAATCTCATAAACGTTTCCATTTTGTAAGAGACCAAACCGAAACCATAGTAGGATAATGAAGTTCTAGAATTTAAAGAACTTAACGAACATAAAACTGAGCTCTCTTAGTGTTTTTTTTTTCTTCTTCTTTCTTTTCCAGGAACTTACTTCTGATTGCTTGTTTTCATCATCACTTTCAAGTTTTATGTTCTTCAAGTTCTTTAAATTCTAGAATTTTACAGTAGTAAAAAGATAAGGTACTTATTTGGAAAAAGGAAATTTAAAGATAATGTAGAAAGAGATGGCGTTTGTTGAATTTACAACCTTTTGGATATACATTTCAATGATTATTTTTCATATTGGTTCATGTGTCTATAGATGTAAGTTTGTTGAAATTAAAGCATTACCTTTTTTTTCTTATAAGTAATTTTTTTTTTCAGATTTATAAAGCGACAACATCTTATTGACGTCACTGAGGTCTTTAGATTTCTTAAAGCTGAGAAAAAGTATCGAGTTATCAAACTTTCCTTGTACTTAGTTCTCTTGGTCTTGGTCATTTTCAGGTTTGCTTCGATTCTTCATTTATTACTTTTCTTTCACTTTTCGTATTTTAAAATAAGGGCTGTTGGTTTAAATCTGAGGGCAATCACTTTGTAAATAATGGTCAAAGACGTGGACCACCCCTCTCAGTCTCCCAGATTCCCATTGATGGGCACTAAATTGGCAGCATTTTTTTTAAAATTCTTATTTTCCATTTTGCTAAGTCGAAGTTTTTACTTGCTGCCCGGGCATAGACTTCTCTCTGAAGGGTGATTTTCCACTAACTTATCAGTCTTCCATTTCAATAATGAAGAATTAGACGCTCGCTCATCCTTTCTTGAATTCTAGAATTTACCTTTCATACTTTGACCTGCATGTTTTATCCTTTCAATTCTTTGAAATAAGCTGAGACATGACCTTATGAATATTTAACTGTCAAATGTTAATACCACATTTTCTAATGTGAATGCACATCTCAAGCCTGGAAAACCAAGTATGTCTGGACGTCCAATCTTCTTGTTCCCGTAGGCTGGAACTTTGGTAAAGCAATGTACTAGTTTATAGTTAGGTACTTAGGCTCTAGTCATGGTTCTCAAGAAAACAGTGAGCGAAAACACAATCAAACAGATTGAGTTTTATTTTTTATCGTACGAAACATAATCACAAAAAGGAAATATGAGATGAATTTATCTCTTCTATACTTGCTAATTGAGTATGAAAGGTCCAAAGGAGGAGTGCGCAAATTTTTCTGTTAAATCTGCTCTGATTGAGTTATTTTTATCGAATTTTAGTTGAAAAGGATATTTTAATTTATGATTGATTATAGAAACTAATGACTTGTGTCAGGTGCCTGTGGGTGTGTGTGTGCAAGCATGTGGCAATGCTAATAATAAATCGTTAATGCAGGTTTGTTCTGTCTATGTTAAACTCTATAGTTGATGAAGATGATGGTGTACATGGATCTTGGTGGTACTGATTTCCACCACTTTGATGCAGTATGATTGCCAGTCCTTGTAAGTTTGTTCTAGTCCCTGAAATTGCAAAAATGAAAAAAATACCCAATTTACTGATATAGGTTGGCAAACCATTAAATGAACTTGGCCTGTTTTCTTGCTGTCTAAACCATCAACTAGTAGGTGAAGCATTCTTATTGATTTCTAGATCATGATTAGTTTTAGTCTAAAAACTTGTTTAGGTTGATGAACAATGTATCCCATCCCTAGAATGAATGATCAAAAGGAATGGTTGTTTCTTCATGCATCATCTACTCTCTTAAATGACACTTGCAGATTTATACAAGTTTATTTTCGTATATTATAACTTACTTTCATTTATCACATTTCTAGAATGAATGGTCAAATGGAATCATTTTTTTGTTTTGTTTTGTTTTTTTTGCTGTTCCCTTGGTTACAAGTGTTTTTGCACACTTCATTTATGTGCCATACTAACCTGCCTCAACCACAGTGGTCCTTTTGCCAATGTGTTTCTTTCCACCTTCTATATGACCACTAGGTGAATGATTCGGGGCTCACCACCCATTCTCTTTAAAACAACATACAATTTATATGGCACTTGTATTTGTTAAAAAATGTAACCTGCTTCTGGGCAGGGGCTGTTTATTTATTTATATGTTTTTTAAATTAAAAAAAAAATAAAATAAATCAACACATGGAATAACACCAAACCTCCAGGACCTATAAGCAACACAGTTTGTGAGGTTCACCCAAAACATAGTGCTACGTCCACAGAATTAGTGCGGTTTCACTATAATCTCAATAGAGAAATTATAGGAGTCTCACCCTCAATCTTACAAATTCTTTCTATTAATCTCATCAATATTTGTTTCTCATACACATAATATAGTTATGAAGGAGTATTAGTATATATAATGCTAGCCCCCGGTAAAACATTGTATTTTTCATGCACATCAAGGCAGGTAGCCCATTCTGAGTGCCCTTAGGCCAGCATGTGCACCATCATCATTCTCCGCTCTAGCGCCTATTTAGTGAGCAAACCTACACTTTCTGGACAAATTGCATTGGAGCACGCTTTAACCCTGCTCGAGCATGCTTCTGCTCTCCACCGACAACAGAACATTGCTTCAAACAAGCAAATGAGTACACATATTGGCATGTATGATTGATCTATAATATATATGCCGATATGCAAATAATTTTTACTCTGCAAGCAAAGATGCTTAGAGTCTTCACTCCTGCTTTCACAGTTTTGAGGATTGTAAGTTGCATATTTAGCATACCATTTGACCAGTATTCAAAATCTTTGTTTGACATGTGTGTTGACTTGTAGTTTGACATCCTCATTCATTGAAAAGATGGATGATATTAGTATAAAAAGTACGCTTATGATATGGCATTTTGTTTGTATATTTGAATGCAATATTACTTTTTGTTGGGCAGCATAGCTAAGGTTGATGTTTTTGCGGAATACGAAGTTTTGGAAGTCAATTCAAGAGGGTATTGTTTTTGTTTTCAGTTTTTGAAAAACAAATAATTTGTTTGGCGAGCTATCTTCAACTACTTTTTGGGAATAATTTATAGAAATAGCCCATTTTTTAGGAAACACAACAAAGATGTTTTCAGTTTTTTCAGAGCAACAGACTAAGTGGATTTGCTCTGATTGTTTATGGGATGGAGATCTGATTGGGCTGCTTGGGCCTATTCGTTGTCTATTGTAGGCTGTAATCAAAACCAATTAATATGTGACCCATCAGTGCTTGAAAATGAGGCTTTAAGTCTTGGGCCCATTTTGTCACATAATTGTCTTATGCCTTGTTTGGTAGAACTGTTGGAAAGTGCTTATAGCTTATGCCTAACCAGTTTGTAGCTTATAACTATGAACCTAAGTAGATTTTTGACTTATAAATTAAGCATCTCCTGCCTCACTTAAAGAATAAGCTGATTTCTGACTTCCAAAAAGCCATAAGCTATAAGCTATAAGCTAAACTAAACACATCAAAATATCTTAAATTAAGCTGAAAGCTAAAATAAGCAGTTTTTAAGCTGCACCAAACAGGCACGATGTATGACAGTTGTCGAAAACCCATTTATGAGAGCAAATTACTAGTATAATATTTTAAGTATAGTAGTGTTAAAATAACACAACTCAACATAAAATCTTCAAAAAGTGTAAGATACGTTGTGCTAAACTAATCACACTTCATAAATTTTGATTTTGATGGATCCTTTTTTGATTTTATTGTGTTGTTTTGTTTAATGTAATTTTTATTTATTTTATAATTTTGACTTGAATTAATAGCTACTACCATAGTATATATACTACGTACATACTAAGACCATCTCCAACGGTAAACCAAACCCAGCATCAAATTCAAATTTTGATGAAAAACCTACTTTTTCAAGCTCCAACCGTTGCACCAGATTGATATCAAAATGAGATTTCAGCAAAAAAAGCATCAAACTGAGAACGAGACACAGATTTTACCAAATCACTGTTACTGACCGTTGAAAGAGGTACACCGGTCAACCAGCCGATTGCCCGGCCGGTTGACCAACCGGTCAACCAATAAAAGATTCAAACAGTTCAGGAATAAAAGTTCAAACCGTTAAAAAAAATAAATAAAAAAAAAATTTGCCTAACCGGTCAACCGGCCGGTCGACCACCCCGGTCGTCCCGAAAAAGTTCAGAAAGTTCAAAAAAAAGTTCAGACAATTCTCAAAAAAAAAAATAAATTGCCGAACCGGTCAACCGGCCGGTCGACCACTCGGTTGTCCCGGGATAGATTTGGTGAAAGGTGAACCGTTGGAGCGAGTGGTATCAAATTTAGTGAAATGGGTTATTTTTGACTCAAATTTGGTGAAAAATTTGAGTCACCGTTAGAGATGCTCTAATGGAACAATTTTTGACAAATCTATAGTGTAATTTAGGCCTTATTTGTCATAATCTAAAAAAATCAAGAAGTCAATATTCTATTTAAGTCACATCATTTTATTTAAGTCACATTACCTCTCTACCATATCACTTCAAACACAATTCATACTCAATCCATATTTCATAAAAATTTAGTGTACTTATTTAGATCATCCCAAATCACCTCTAAGACTATACTAAAATAATATTTAAAAAAAATACTACACCAATAGAGATACCTCATCAGTAGCATACTCATACATATCAGAGGGTAGGATCCATTGTAAAAGATACAATATTGTTCTAAAAAAAATAAAAACAAAATATTGCTTGCATTGCTCGTCTGCTTCACCTGTATGTGGCTGTGGTTGTGGTTGTGGTTGTGGTTGTGGTTGATTATGTGTTTATTATGGGTGAGAGCGGGTTGGTTGCGGTCACGAAACTTTCAATCTGTTATTCGTCTATCATATTGGTGAATTGGAGAAAATCAATTCATATTCGTCCGCCAATCCGACGGATGTGAATTGGGCGGATTGATACGAATCAGTTTAGTGGTTTAAAATTTTTATAAATTTTTAATATAATTCAACTTGTGTACTTCTTCAAAAATATATATATATATATATATATTACAGTAAATGACTTAAAAAAATATTACAATCATAGCATGCCTCATCCACATAAATTATTACAATCTGTGGTTCTTAAAATATAAAAATAATTTAAACCATCAAAATCATGAATAGAGCAGTAGTAGAGATTGTATATCTCTATATTGTTACATCTATATCTGTTTTTTAAAACAAAAATCAACCAGCATATATCATCTTTTTTATTTATTATTTTTAGGGTTAGATTTAAAAACTAAAAAATATAGATAAATAAGACATTTATTTTTTTCAATTCAAAAAATATATTCAAACTGAAAATTCTTTTTCAACATAATATTTAAACTCTTTTTCAATTGAAAACACAAACAGAATATTTAAACAAATTGAAAATATAAATTTTTACAAATTACTAGGAGTGCTCACGGTTTGGTGGTTCAGTTGTAGTTAAATGAACCTCAAATCCGCCTTTCGTCCAAAACTAGGTGGATTGGAAAAAATCAACCTGCAACCGTCCGTTTGTCATCACACATTCATCCAAAATGCGGTGGATTGGTTCGGTTTGGACGGATTGGTATATCCGCAGCTTATAGACTTAGATTTCGTTTGTTAACTATACATTTTAGTCAAAAAATTAAAAAGTCACTATAAGTTATCACATCACTTTCTCTACTTTTTTACGTATCTTTTCATAAAAAGTTAAGAAGTTAGTAAAATAATTTGTTTCCAAACGAGACTTTATTTTTTATTTTATTGTACAATCAAAATATAAAACTAGGGGCCCATTGGGAACATCCTTCAGAGTCGAGATTTTCTCCTCTATCTCTCTATTTGCTAGGTCATTAGGCTCACTTTTGGATCTAATTTTGATGATCTGAACTGTTCATATTTTAAGATTTGTTTAGCATATTACACTTGTAAAAAATCAAGTTGATCGGATATCAGAAAACATGTGTTTGGAAAACTGTTTATTAAATTTTTTTAAAAAATGATTTGTAGCTCGATGATACGAACGCGTAGTTTCTAATATTCAATCAACTTGATTTTTTACAGGTATGATATACTCAACAAATTTTAAAATATGAATTATTTGAATTATCAAAATTAGACCCAAAAGTAGACCTAATTGCCTAGCAAGGAGGCAGTTTAGGAGAGAGATGAATCCATCCTCCAGCTTAATGGGGCCCAACAATTGACATTTCTACCCAATTGTTGTAGTAATGTAATGACCCAATAGTGGGTGGACCATCTACCTACATGATGATGCATCCACTGATTGTACATCGTAAACCACTCGAATTTTTTTTTCTTTTAAAAATACTATAGATTATGAAAATTTATTCTGATTTTATTTGAGAATAAGTGTGTAGTGTAGATTTAAAGTTAGTGAAATTTGAATCACACCTATAAGGCTACAGTGAATGTAGACCATTGATTTAATTTTTTGGATATTTTTTTATGGGTTTGTAGTAGAGTTGTTTTGTTTGTTTGTTGGGTCCGTGGCAGGTAGTAGGACGTTGGGTCGTTTTCTGGGCCCAGGTTGGACTGAAGCTGTCTTTTGTGTTTTGTGTTGGCCCATCAGGCCCAGTAGCAGCATCAAGTTCTGTTGGGTCTTTGAGCGACTGAGAAAATAAGGCGGGACCCACGAGAAAACCTCACATAGACAAGTGGCTAAACAAGTGGCTATTGTTCCAGTGGGTCGCCATCTATGGTGGGCCTATCAATTGGACTACACCTGACCGTCCGAAGTACCTCCATGATCATGTGAGCATGTGTATTCTTTATGTAATTGATGAGAAAAACAGTTGGCTTTGGCGGAAAAACATTTTTCATTTTTTAATGTTTAGTATGATAAAAAAAGGAAAATTTAGTCAAAATTTCTTCATTTTAGTGAAAAGAATAACTTAAGGCACCGTTTGGGAAGGTGGGTTGGAGGTTTTTTTGGCTATTTTAGCCACAAAAAACAAAATAGGCTATTTTAGCCATAACAAACAAAACATCACATCCAACCCATAATCATTACATTCTTCTCTCACAAAAAAACTCAAAAAAGTCAAAAAGCCAAAAAGCTCTTCCCAAACCAAGCTTTTAAGCCCAGGCTAAAATAGCAAAAAAAGTCAAAAAGCCAAAAAGCCAACCCACTTCCCAAACAGAGGCTAAGATCACTTCTAATTGCATTGAATATTATTTATTATTAAAAATTCCGTAATGAAATTGTGTTTATTTCGATAGTATATATATATATATATATATTTTAAAGAATTTCATAGTTAATATGAATCTTATTTGATAGATCTTAATGAGAGAATTTTAAAGATACTAATTTTATTAAAAAATGATATCTAGATAAAAAAAATTATATTATTTTAAAGTCTATAATATTAAATTACTCACTAAGTATATTTTGGTAAAAATATATGTTTTGACTTTTTAAAGAATTTTTTTTTGTATTTATTCTAATATATTAAAGTTTTATTATTAAAGAATTTTGACTAAATCTTAAAAAAAGGAAAGTCAACAAAAATAACCTTATGTAGGAGAAAAAGTAAAAAGCATATTACTTTATCACACTATAGACACCATCACGCAGTAATTCAACTATTAGGATAGTTTCAAGAACATGTCTTTTTTAGTGAACCGAAAGTGTCTAGATATTTTATGAGTTTTTCAGAAAATGAAAACAATTTGTGACTACATTTTCTACTAGAAGCTTGCTTTCTTTGTAAAAATTCATTGGAAATTTTATTTAGTATATATAAAGAAAAAAATCATTTTTCAAAATGCAAAACAACTTTGCCATACACTAAGAGCATCTTTAAAAAACTGGGCCTGATTGAGCCTTCGTTTGGCAACTTAGGTTAGGTTGGGTTGGATTGGGTTGGGTTTGGTTTGGTTTGGTTTGGTTTCGAATCATTTTGGTTATAAAAAGATAAAATAGACTTTTTAATCTAATAAGACAAAATGTCACATTCAATTCATAATCATTACATTTTTTCTTAAACAAAAAGTTAAAAAAAGTCAAAAAGATCAATCCCAAAAAGTTAATAAGACAAATTTTTTTTTTTATATATATAATTATTTTGATTTAAGACACATTTTAGTTACCAAAAAGTTACTAAATTAGTCAAAAAGCCAACAATCCATACCAAAAAGTCAAAGATTCTCTTTTCTCTCTACTTTTTGCACATCTTTTCGTAATTAGCCAAAAAGTCATCCCAAACATACAAGTTTTTTTTACATACCTTTTTAGTCAAATAGCCAAAAAGTTACTAAATTAGCTTGTTCCCAAACGAGGCCTAAGAGCATCTTTAAAAAACTGGGCCTGATTGAGCCTTCCTTTGGCAACTTAGGTTAGGTTGGGTTGGGTTTGGTTTGGTTTGGTTTGGGAATCATTTTAGTCATAAAAAGATAAAATAGATTTTTTAATCTAATAAGACAA